AATGTGACTTTTATTTTTTCCGGCAAAAATAAAAGGCTTAGCTAAATAAGAAAAAAACCTTAGGTCTAAATAAAGTAAATTTGGTACCAATACTATAAAGGATCGAACCAAAATCGCTCACGCGGTTACAGCAGCGCCAGTGAAGAAAATGAATAAAATAAAAAAATTTAAAATGTGCAAAATTGAGCAAATTTATCTTAAAGCACATTTAATGCAGAATAGATTTGATGTTTTGTTTTTGTGATGTGAGCTGGTACACAGGAGTACTGCTAAACGACAACGAGCACAATTCATAAAAATTAACGCCCGACTCAATGAAGATGTCGAATTATTTTAAGCAAGTGCTATTTTGAATCATAGTTTTCTTTTTTTTATTATTATTATCCTATTGTACACATATGGCCATCTCCTATAAGAGATACATAATATGTATCTCTTTGTGTCACTTTCAAACGGCCACCCGAACAATGCGTCTGCGTTGCCCTGAGCGCCTTCTACTCGTATTACCGTTGTTACCTGCACGTCGTTGACTGTTGTTGGTTCTAACATTGCGGCGACGTACANTGTTGTTGCAGGCGGCGCATGCGTTGACGCTGCTTCTGGCGACGACGTCTATTCAGCTGTTGCCGACGGCGTCGTTGACGTTGCGCCGCACGACGTCGTTGCGACTGGCGACGACGCGTATTTGTCGTTGCACGCGTGCGAGTTGATGCGCGTCCATTTTCCTCCGGCAAGTTTTGTTCATCTTCAATTGCTACGTCGTTGACGTCGTCACTCTGTTCGTCGGCATCATCATCGTTTGATTCGGGATTTACGATTTCATAATTGTTACCAAGTCGTAAAACGATATTAAAATCGTCATCTTCATCATCATCACCGATTTCGCTGTCGTAAAGGCTTTCTTCTGAAGGGTATGAACGCGATGCATTTGTTGTTACTGTTGTTATTGAGGTCGGTGTTGTAGGTGATGTTGTAGTTGGTGATGACGATGATGTGGTTGGGAATAGAGTAACTACTCCTGTTGTGGGACTCGATGGAACAAATGTTGATGTTGTAGTAATTGTGGTAGTAGTTGTAGATGTTGAACCTTTCAACGAAGTGATTCTGTTAAGCAAATCCTGTGAAATTACGCGGCCGGTACCAATATGATCATGGGTGCGTCGACCTCTGTTCGTGCGCTGTTTATTGAAAAGTTGGTAGCTGTGGTCAGATCCTTGCGGGTTGCCTGTAATTGAATTGGCATAACTGTTATAATTGCTTACACAAAAGTATTGATTTGGTCATCTTACCAGATGCTTGCAGCGCGACGGCAGCTAAGCCAAATGCGAAGAGGGCTACTTGGAAGAAATGCATTTTGTGTTAGTATACTGTGT